CGCGCGAGAGCATTGGGACGCTGCTGCTGGATGCTGCTTCCTCCGCGTTACGCGCGTGATATCGCGGGCCCTGCTTTACCACCCCCGTTACCCACCCCCCCCCACACACACACACAAACACACACAAACACACACTTGTATGTATGATTTATCATCACGCGATTTTTTTCCCACTGCGCGATGTTCTTCAGGAAAGCAACCGCTGTTAAAGCCGCCTGACCGGAGCACAGGACGGTACGGGCGGGGGCGGGGGGGAACTCCTCTACTTACAAACATTCGACTTGCGAACTTTCAGAGATACCAACAAGTTTGTCCGTATATCCAGTTGCCTGTTCGGTCCCAGAGTAGCAAGTTCAGCCACCCCCCCCCCCCCCCCGCGCGATAGATGGTGGCAGTGGTGGCATCTCGATCTGCAGAACGTGAAGAACCAGTGGCATCTACATCTACAGAACGTGAAGAACCAGTGGCATCTACATCTACAGAACGTGAAGAACCAGTGGCATCTACATCTACAGAACGTCAAGAACCAGTGGCATCCACATCTACAGAACGTGAAGAACCAGTGGTATCTACATCTACAGAATGTAAATAACCAGTGGTATCTACATCTACAGAACGTGAAGAACCAGTGGCATCCACATCTACAGAACGTGAAGAACCAGTGGCATCCACATCTACAGAACGTGAAGAACCAGTGGTATCTACATCTACGGAATGTAAATAACCAGTGGTATCTACATCTACAGAACGTGAAGAACCAGTGGCATCCACATCTACAGAACGTGAAGAACCAGTGGTATCTACATCTACAGAACGTAAATAACCAGTGGTATCTACATCTACAGAACGTGAAGAACCAGTGGCATCCACATCTACAGAACGTGAAGAACCAGTGGTATCTACATCTACAGAATGTAAATAACCAGTGGTATCTACATCTACAGAACGTGAAGAACTAGTGGCATCTACATCTACAGAATGTAAATAACCAGTGGTATCTACATCTACAGAACGTGAAGAACCAGTGCCATCCACATCTATAGAACGTGAAGAACCAGTGGTATCTACATCTACAGAATGTAAATAACCAGTGGTATCTACATCTACAGAACGTAAAGAACCAGTGGCATTCACATCTACAGAACGTGAAGAACCAGTGGTATCCACATCTACAGAACGTGAAGAACCAGTGGTATCTACATCTACAGAACGTGAAGAACCATTGGCATCTACATCTACAGAACGTGAAGAACCAGTGGCATCTACGTCTACAGAATGTAAATAACCAGTGGCATCCACATCTACAGAACGTGAAGAACCAGTGGCATTCACATCTACAGAACGTGAAGAACCAGTGGTATCTACATCTACAGAACGTGAAGAACCAGTGGTATCTACATCTACAGAACGTGAAGAACCATTGGCATCTACATCTACAGAACGTGAAGAACCAGTGGCATCTACGTCTACAGAATGTAAATAACCAGTGGCATCCACATCTACAGAACGTAAAGAACCAGTGGCATTCACATCTACAGAACGTGAAGAACCAGTGGTATATACATCTACAGAACGTGAAGAACCAGTGGCATCTCGATCTGCAGAACGTGAAGAACCAGTGGCATTGACATCTACAGAACGTGAAAAACCAGTGGTATCTACATCTGCAGAACGTAAAGAACCAGTGGTATCTACATCTACAGAACGTGCAGAACCAGTGGCATTCACATCTACAGAACGTGAAGAACCAGTGGCATTCACATCTACAGAACGTGAAGAACCAGTGGCATCTACATCTACAGAATGTGAAGAACCAGTGGCATTCACATCTACAGAACGTGAAGAACCAGTGGCATTCACACCTACAGAACGTAAAAAACCAGTGGCATCTACATCTACAGAACGTAAAGAACCAGTGGCATTCACATCTACAGAACGTGAAGAACCAGTGGTATATACATCTACAGAACGTGAAGAACCAGTGGCATCTCGATCTGCAGAACGTGAAGAACCAGTGGCATTGACATCTACAGAACGTGAAAAACCAGTGGTATCTACATCTGCAGAACGTAAAGAACCAGTGGTATCTACATCTACAGAACGTGCAGAACCAGTGGCATTCACATCTACAGAACGTGAAGAACCAGTGGCATTCACATCTACAGAACGTGAAGAACCAGTGGCATCTACATCTACAGAATGTGAAGAACCAGTGGCATTCACATCTACAGAACGTGAAGAACCAGTGGCATTCACATCTACAGAACGTGAAGAACCAGTGGCATCTACATCTACAGAACGTGAAGAACCAGTGGCATCTACATCTGTAGAACGTGCAGAACCAGTGGAATCTACATCTACAGAACGTGAAGAACCAGTGGCATTTACATCTACAGAACGTGAAGAACCAGTGGCATCTACATCTACAGAACGTGCAGAACCAGTGGCATTCACATCTACAGAATGTGAAAAACCAGTGGTATCTACATCTACAGAACGTGAAGAACCAGTGGTATCTACATCTACAGAACGTGCAGAACCAGTGGCATCCACATCTACAGAACGTGCATAACCAGTGGCATTCACATCTACAGAACGTGAAAAACCAGTGGTATCTACATCTACAGAACGTGAAAACCAGTGGAATTCACATCTACAGAACGTGAAGAACCAGTGGCTTTCACATCTACAGAACGTGAAGAACCAGTGGCATCTATATCTGCAGAACGTGAAGAACCAGTGGCATTCACATCTACAGAACGTGAAGAACCAGTGGCATCTACATCTACAGAACGTGAAGAACCAGTGGCATTCACATCTACAGAACGTGAAGAACCAGTGGCATTTACATCTACAGAACGTGAAGAACCAGTGGCATCTACATCTGTAGAACGTGAAGAACCAATGGCATCTACATCTACAAGAAATTATGCAACTTTCAACTCCATTCCCCGTGTTTAGCGTACACGCCGAACAACACGTTTGGTATCAACTGGAGTAAAGTTGGACTTACGAACACACCTCTGGAACCTAACTCGTTCCGTAAGTAGGAGACCCCCTGTACGTTGAACTTCTTTCGCTCCACCGTACATAGCCAACCGTGCTAATCGGAGGTCCACGGGGGAAGGGCAAGAAGCTACAGAGAACGAGCAGCAGTTCTAAAGTAATGAGTTTTTCAACCGAGATGATGATGTAAAAGTGCGTCACAGCTCCCAGTGTATTCCTAATATCGGAAGAGCGTTCCAGATGGCCACAGAAGCGCATCTGAAAGCGCTGCGCAATGGCGGTGACCCTACCGCTGGATATCGCCCCGAATCAGTCAGGCGGCATTATCTTTTCATCGGCTGCCTAATGCTGCTGCTGCTGCTGTCTGTCTGTCACTCCACACACGAAGATCCAGGTGTGTCCTTCTCGGCCAGTCATGCCCGCCCTCACTTCTCTACGCTTGCGAAACGTGGACGCCCTCTTATAGAATATCTGCGCCAGTGAGAAACATTTAGGCTGGCCTGCCTACAATCAATCCTGGGTTTAACCAGGCTGGATTGTATGAGGAGCTCACAAATCCTTCAAAAGATCTGGACAAAGTCCCATCAGTGAGCTCCTAGGGCAGGCAAGGCTGCGTTGGATGGGTCATGTAGCCCGCATGCCAAGTCACCGCATGCCTAAACACCTTTTGTTCGGCCGGATAGAGAGGTCGTGGGCTGGAGAAGAGACGGAGTGATGTAGTACAGAAGGATGTGGAGCTGAGTGGACGTGTGCTCCGTCCTGGGTTTAACCAGGCTGGATTGCACTTTTAAATCTAGATTGAAAATAAATTATTTTAGAACTGGCTTGTTGTGTTTAGTTTATTGTCCTTCCCCTGCCGGCAGCTCCAATTAGCACGGTTGGCTACGTACGGTGCAAGAGAAGTTTAACGCGCACATACACACTGCTATTCCTCCACGATTGTGAAATGCACGGAACGACTCCAAGGATACCACTTCTACTACCATTGACGGACACGCAGGGGACACGGTGCGACGCAGATCGATGCAGAGAGACCGAGACGGTGAGACACGGTGAGAGATGGGGAGACAGAGACACGGAGAGACGCACTTTGCTCCAGTGAACAGGATCATCACGACCACCACCATTACACCATCAATGTAAAATCTTGTAGATTGAAAACTCGTTTTTTTTAGAGCTGCTTGCTGTTGTGTGTTTAGATTGTCGTCCTTTCAGCCGTCCACACCTCCGATTAGCGCGGTTGGCTATGTTACGGCAGTGGTGCGAAAGAAGTTCAAACACACACACACACACGCACACACGTACACACACATGTACACACACACGTACACACACATGTACACACACACGTACACACACACGTACACACACACACGTACACACGTACACACACACACGTACACACACACACGGACACACACGTACACACACACACGTACACACACACACGGACACACACGTACACACACACACGTACACACACACACAGGGGCCAACCCTCATCCCCTCACTGTCTCAGGTCTCTCTGGTCACAATCACGTGACCCTCAATGAGTCGAATCCTCTGGGTGGTGGTGGTGGTGGGGAGGGAGGGGGAGAGAGAAAGGAGGGAGGGAGGATGGAGAGGGGGTAGAGAGAGAGAGGGGGCAGAGAGGTAAGGTAGGGAAATGGGGGAGGGAGAGTGGGGAGATTTGGAGAGTGGGGAGATTTGGAGCGTGGGGAGATTTGGAGAGTGGGGAGATTTGGAGAGTGGGGAGATTTGGAGAGTGGGGAGATTTGGAGAGTGGGGAGATTTGGAGCGTGGGGAGATTTGGAGAGTGGGGAGATTTGGAGAGTGGGGAGAGTGGGGAGATTTGGAGAGTGGGGAGATTTGGAGAGTGGGGAGATTTGGAGAGTGGGGAGATTTGGAGAGTGGGGAGAGTGGGGAGATTTGGAGAGTGGGGAGATTTGGAGAGTGGGGAGATTTGGAGAGTGGGGAGATTTGGAGAGTGGGGAGAGTGGGGAGATTTGGAGAGTGGGGAGATTTGGAGAGTGGGGAGATTTGGAGAGTGGGGAGATTTGGAGCTCTCTCCACTAGGGGAATGTGCTGCTCAGTCCAGGAACTTGCGGTTGGGGTTTGGTCCAAAGAGGGAGACCCGGATCTCTGGCAACATCTGTGACGCAAGATTCGGCATCATCATCAGCAGTGTCGTCATCATCATCAACATCAGCAGTGTCGTCATCATCATCAGCAGCAGTGTCGTCGTCATCACCATCATCAGCAGTGTCGTCATTATCATCATCATGAGTATCATCAGCAGCAGTCATCATCATCGGCAGCATTCATCATCAGTAGCATCATCAGTAGTCATCATCATCACCAGTGTCATCATCAGCAGCCAGGGGCGGAGCCAGGATTTTGACTTTGGTGGGGGGGGGGAAGGCTGACTCCACTGTTCATGTTCTCCCAATGGGCGCCACAAATTAATAAATGAACCCCGGGGGGGGGGGGGTCCCGTAAAAATCAGGTCAACAACAACAATAATAATCTTCTTTGGTTCTTTCCATAAAGTCACGTAGAATGAGAATAAAATAATAAATTGATAAAATAAAATAACACAATAATATTCTCACGACGTTTCGGCCACAACACAAGCGGCCTTCATCAGGTGAAGGGGGCGAGACTGTCTGGTAGGACAGCGCTGGAGAGAGCCACGTTCAGATCACGGCTTTTAAGCTGTGTGAGAGGAACAAAGAGCCTTGACAAAGGAATTAGCATAAAATTTAGCATTGAAATGGCTGAATGATTAGCTTGTGACTGGTCACAGAAATAGCTATGTTAAAAGTTAAAGCATACACATCCGCAGAGGCACCCATTGTTAAAAGGAATTAGCATAGAATTTAGCATTGAAATAGCTAAGTTAAGGCATACACATCCGCAGAGGCACCCCTTGACAATGGAATTAGCATAGAATTTAGCATTGAAATGGCTGAGTGATTCGCTTGTAACTGCTACAGAAATAGCTACGTTGAAGTCAGAGCATACACATTCACCGAGGCACTTAGTACAAATCAAACAGGAGAATTTAGCATTGAAATAACTAGGCGAATTTAGCATTGAAATAACTGAGTGATTTGCTAGTGACTGGTCACAGAAATTACTACACATCTGAGCTATTCACAGTACTATATAGTGAACCAATAAAAACTAAAATATAAATTACCTTCATGTTATCAATAAACTCTATATTCTCCAATCAGCTAAGCTACCAACCATAAGTCGTTATATATCACAATGCTATATGGCGAAAAAATGGGTGGATTCTTACCCTCAAATTTCCGCACCACGGATAGCTACGGGCCCCGTTCAGACGGACGAGTTCGTCCATGGTCGGAACAAAGGAGGGGGAGAGAGACAGCTGCGAGGCCCTAGTATACTCCATGTTGTAAACCATACCATTAACCGTGGTGTGAGAGGTATTAAGAGGCAATGCTGGCGAAAGAGCTGCGGTCTGAAGGTCATCGTAAAATTACAATTAAGAACAGAAATGATTTAACACATCTTTCCAGTGGTTACCAAGCCTGAATCCATCTTCTCGGTTGAAATTGTCTCTGTGCTTGTATATGTGAGGCCATTCACATATACAAGCACAGAGAAAATTTCAACCGAGAAGATGGATTCAGGCTTAGTAACCACTGGAAAGATGTGTTAAATCATTTCTGTTCTTAATTAATTGTAATTTTACGATGACCTTCAGACCGCAGCTCTTTCGCCAGCATTGCCTCTTAATACCTCTCACACCACGGTTAATGGTATGGTTTACAACATGGAGTATACTAGGGCCTCGCAGCTGTCTCTCTCCCCCTCCTCTGTTCCGACCATGGACGAACTCGTCCGTCTGAACGGGGCCCGTAGCTATCCGTGGTGCGGAAATTTGAGGGTAAGAATCCACCCATTTTTTCGCCATATAGCATTGTGATATATAACGACTTATGGTTGGTAGCTTAGCTGATTGGAGAATATAGCGTTTATTGATAACATGAAGGTAATTTATATTTTAGTTTTTATTGGTTCACTATATAGTACTGTGAATAGCTCAGATGTGTAGTAATTTCTGTGACCAGTCACTAGCAAATCACTCAGTTATTTCAATGCTAAATTCGCCTAGTTATTTCAATGCTAAATTCTCCTGTTTGATTTGTACTAAGTGCCTCGGTGAATGTGTATGCTCTGACTTCAACGTAGCTATTTCTGTAGCAGTTACAAGCGAATCACTCAGCCATTTCAATGCTAAATTCTATGCTAATTCCATTGTCAAGGGGTGCCTCTGCGGATGTGTATGCCTTAACTTAGCTATTTCAATGCTAAATTCTATGCTAATTCCTTTTAACAATGGGTGCCTCTGCGGATGTGTATGCTTTAACTTTTAACATAGCTATTTCTGTGACCAGTCACAAGCTAATCATTCAGCCATTTCAATGCTAAATTTTATGCTAATTCCTTTGTCAAGGCTCTTTGTTCCTCTCACACAGCTTAAAAGCCGTGATCTGAACGTGGCTCTCTCACTCCAGCGCTGTCCTACCAGACAGTCTCGCCCCCTTCACCTGATGAAGGCCGCTTGTGTTGTGGCCGAAACGTCGTGAGAATATTATTGTGTTATTTTATTTTATCAATTTATTATTTTATTCTCATTCTACGTGGTGGTGACTTTACCGAAAGAACCAAAGAAGATTAATCATTGCAGTCACGAAAGCTTTAAATCGGAACAATAATAATAATAATTATTATTGTTTTTCTCAGCCCGCCCCACTCCGCGATACCGACAGCAACGCGCCGCCACGCCCAGACCCGGCACCGACAAGTGCCGGCAGCGGCGGGCGGCGATCGGCACGACGGGCGCCGCCGCCCCCGCCGCCCAAACGCGAGCCCCCCCCCCCAAAGGGTGGTGAATTTGAACGTGTTTGTGTAATTTTTTAAACTTTTTTTTTTTAACGAAACTCAGCGTCCCCCCGGAGTAGCTCTCGACGAGGCCGACCGACTGACGCTGGTTTTGTTGTCGGCAAGGCGACGGAGGCTCGTGTCTCCGCGCGGTTATTCCCACCCCGGGGGAAGCGATGGTGGCCCCCGGGGTAACCGCCGATTGCTTCAAATGTATGAAACTCATTTTATTGGATTTGAACGCAAAGCTTATTAATGGGTCGGAGCCGCCGATGTGGCTGATGAGTTAGATAGGCTGCCGCTGCTCAAGCAGCACAAGGTGACATCACGAGGTGACATCACGAGGTGACATCACGAGGTGACATCACGAAGTGACAGCACAAGGTGACAGCACAAGGTGACATCACGACGTGACATCACAAGGTGACATCACAAGGTGGCAACACAAGGTGACATCACAAGGTGACATCACAAGGTGACATCACAAGATGACATCACAAGGTGGCAACACAAGGTGACATCACGAGGTGACATCATGAGGTGCCATCACAAGGTGACAGCACAAGGTGACATCACAAGGTGACATCACGAGGTGGCAACACGAGGTGACATCACAAGGTGACATCACAAGGTGACATCACGAGGTGACATCACGAGGTGACATCACGAGGTGACATCACAAGGTGGCAACACAAGGTGACATCACAAGGTGACATCACAAGGTGACATCACAAGATGACATCACAAGGTGACATCACAAGGTGACATCACGAGGTGATATCACGAGGTGACATCACGAGGTGACATCACAAGGTGACATCACAAGGTGGCAGCACAAGGTGACACCACAAGGTGACATCACAAGATGACATCACAAGGTGGCAACACAAGGTGACATCACAAGGTGACATCACAAGGTGACATCACAAGGTGACATCACAAGATGACATCACAAGGTGGCAACACAAGGTGACATCACAAGGTGACATCACAAGATGACATCACAAGGTGGCAACACAAGGTGGCATCACAAGCTGACATCACAAGGTGACATCACAAGGTGACATCACAAGGTGACACCACAAGGTGGCAGCACAAGGTGACATCTCAAGGTGACATCACAAGGTGACATCACGAGGTGACATCACGAGGTAGCATCACGAGGTGATATCACAAGGTGACATCACGAGGTGACATCACGAGGTGACATCACAAGGTGACATCACAAGGTGACATCACAAGGTGACATCACAAGATGACATCACAAGGTGACATCACAAGGTGACAGCACAAGGTGACATCACAAGGTGACATCATGAGGTGACATCACAAGGTGACATCACAAGGTGGTAACACAAGGTGACATCACAAGGTGACATCACAAGGTGACATCACGAGGTGGCAGCACGAGGTGACATCACGAGGTGACATCACAAGGTGACATCACAAGGTGACATCACAAGGTGACATCACAAGGTGACATCACAAGGTGACATCACAAGGTGACAACACGAGGTGACATCACGAGGTGACATCACGAGGTGACAGCACAAGGTGACATCACAAGGTGACATCACAAGGTGACAGCACAAGGTGACATCACAAGGTGGCAGCACAAGGTGACAACACAAAGTGACATCACAAGGTGACATCACAAGATGACATCACAAGGTGGAAACACAAGGTGACATCACAAGGTGACATCACGAGGTGGCAGCACGAGGTGACATCACGAGGTGACATCACAAGGTGACATCACAAGGTGGCAGCACAAGGTGACATCACAAGGTGACAGCACAAGGTGACATCACAAGGTGACATCACAAGGTGACAGCACAAGGTGACATCACAAGGTGACAGCACAAGGTGACATCACGAGGTGACATCACAAGGTGGCAACACAAGGTCACATCACAAGGTGACATCACAAGCTGACATCACAAGGTGACATCACAAGGTGACATCACAAGGTGACATCACAAGCTGACATCACAAGGTGACATCACAAGGTGACATCACAAGGTGGCAGCCTGCAGCATTTTGCAGCAGCCGGATATCCGGTCATCCCGATTACCGACTTTCACAAAATTTCAGGGGGGCTGGGCCCCCCCCCAGCCCCCCCTATGGCTCCGCCCCTATCAGCAGCAGCAGTCATCATCATCATCAGTAATCATCATCAGCAGCATTTTCATCATCAGCAGCAGTGTCATCATCATCAGTGTCTTCATCATCAGCAGCAGTGTCATCATCATCATCAGTAGTCATCATCATCAGTAGCATTTTCATCATCATCAGCAGCAGTGTCATTATCATCAGTGTCATCATCATCAGTGCCATCATCATCAGCAGCAATCATCATCATCAGTCGCATCATCAGTAGTCACCGTCGTCATCATCATCAACAGTAGCATTTTCATCATCAGCAGCAGTGTCATCATCATCATCAGCAGCAGTGTCATCATCATCATCATCGGCATCACCAGCAGTGTCATCATCATATCATCAGTAGCATCAGCAGCATCGGGAATGGGTGAGCGTGAGTGGGAGTGAGTGCACTGGTAGGTGAGTGGGTGGGTGGGTGAGTGAGTGGGTGGGTGAGTGAGCGATTGAACGGCATGAGTGAGTGTATGGCGGATGAGAGTGATTGGGTGAGTGGACGGGTGAACGGGTGAGTGGACGGGTGAACGAGCGAGTGAATGGGTGAGCGTGAGTGGGAGAGAGTGGGCGAGCTAACGCATGAGTGAGTGGGTGAGTGTGTGAGTGTATGGTGGATGTGAGTAGGTAGGTGAGCTGGTAGGCGAGTGTGTGGGTAGGTGAGTGGGTAGGTGAGTAGGTTGGTGAGCTGGTAGGCGAGTGTGTGGGTAGGTGAGTGGGTAGGTGAGTAGGTTGGTGAGCTGGTAGGCGAGCGTGTGTGTGGGTAGGTGAGTAGGTAGGTGAGTGGGTAGATGAGTAGCTTGGTGAGTAGGTGAGTAGGCAGGCGAGTGTGTGTGTGGGTGAGTAGCTAGGTGAGTGAGTAGCTAGGTGAGTGAGTGGGTAGGTGAGTGGGCAGGTGACTGGGTAGGTGAGTGGGTAGGTGAGTGGGCAGCTGAGTGGGTAGGTGAGTGCACAGGTGAGTGGGTAGGTGAGTGGGTAGGTGAGTGTACAGGTGAGTGGGTAGGTGAGTGGGTAGGTGAGTGAGTGGGTAGGTGAGTGGGCAGGTGAGTGGGTAGGTGAGTGGGCAGGTGAGTGGGTAGGTGAGTGCGCAGGTGACTGGGTAGGTGAGTGGGTGAGTGGGCAGCTGAGTGGGTAGGTGAGTGCACAGGTGAGTGGGTAGGTGAGTGGGTAGGTGAGTGTACAGGTGAGTGGATAGGTGAGTGGGTAGGTGAGTGGGTAGGTGAGTGGGTAGGTGAGTGGGTAGGTGAGTGGGTAGGTGAGTGGGCAGGTGAGTGGGCAGGTGAGTGGGTAGGTGAGTGCGCAGGTGAGTGGGTAGGTGAGTGGGTAAGTGAGTGAGCAGGTGAGTGGGTAGGTGAGTGGGCAGGTGAGTGGGTAGGTGAGTGGGTAGCTGAGCGCTGACCTGCTGAGCCATGAGTTCCAGCCGACTCTCTAGGGTGTTGGAGCACTTGATCTTACCATCCTGACTGAACACCTCCACTCCCCCAGACCTACACAAAGACAAAGATCCCCCATATAGCCTTAACAGACTGTAGGGGCAAGTGCTGTTAGCGAGCACCTATGAAGGCCGGAACGGTACACGAGGGGGTGGGTGGCCAGCACCACGCCCGACCGCCTTTGTCTCCCTAGTGGCGATGTTTACACACCGCACCAGGTGCTCATTTGAGGCCGAGTCGACCTAGGGGAGACCCGGGACCGGTTCAGATAATCGTCACTGGTGTTGGCCGTCAGCGGGAATCGAACCCGGGTCACCAGGTTCATAGCGCAGCGTAGCGCTAACAGCTACACCACCGCTACCCACAGAGCTACACACACACGCACACACACACGCACACACACACGCACACACACCGATACGCACGCACACACACACACAGACACGCACACAAACAGATACACACAAAGCAAAGAGCCCCCGTATAGCCTTTAATAGACCGTTGTTAGCGAGCGGCACCTATGAAGGCTCAAGGGAAATGTGGCACACGAGGGGGTGGGTGGCCAGAACCACGCCCGACCGCCTTTATCTCCCTAGTGGCGATGTTTTTACACACCGCACCAGGTACTCATTTGAGGCTGAGTCGACCTAGGGGAGGCCCAGGACCGGTTCAGATAATCATCACTGGTGTTGGCCGTGAGCGGGAATCGAACCCGGGTCGCCAGGTTCATAGCGCAGCGCGCTAACAGCTACACTACCACTCCCCACACACACGCGCGTTAACACACGCACACACGTGTACACACACACACGTGTACACACACACACACGCGTACACACACACGTGTACACACACACACGCGTGTACACAAACACATGGGTACACACACACACATGGGTACACACACACACACACACGCGTACACACACACACGCGCGCGTACACACACACACGCGCGCGTACACACATACACGCGCGCGTACACACATACACGCGCGCGTACACACACACACGCGCGTACACACGCGCGTACACACACACACACGCGTACACACACACACACGTACACACACACACACGTACACACACACACACGTGTACACACACACACGTGTACACACACACACGTGTACACACACACACGTGTACACACACACACACGCGTACACACACACACGCGTACACACACACACACACGTGTACACACACACGCGCGTACACACACACGCGCGTACACACACACGCGCGTCCACACACACACACGCGTACACACACACACACGCGTACACACACACACACGCGTACACACACACGTGTACACACACACACGTGTACACACACACACACGTGTACACACACACACACGCGTACACACACACGTGTACACACACACACACGTGTACACACACACACGTGTACACACACACACACGCGTACACACACACACGCGTACACACACACACACGTGTACACACACACACGTGTACACACACACACGTGTACACACACACACGTGTACACACACACGTGTACACACACACACACACGTGTACACACACACACACACACGTGTACACACACACACACACACGTGTACACACACGTGTACACACACACACACGTGTACACACACACACACGTGTACACACACACGTGTACACACACACGTGTACACACACACGTGTACACACACACACACGTGCGTACACTTCAGGAGGCAGGAAGACCGTCTCGTCCACGCGAGCGTCCAGATCTTTCTTGGTGACGTCACGGTACGTGGGCAGCACCGTCTGCACCGCAGCCTGCATCACCAACATCACCACCGTCATCACCCTCGTCACCATCACCAACATCACCACCGTCATCACCGTCGTCACCATCACCAACATCACCACCATCACCAACGTCACCACCGTCACCACCACCATCACCATCACCAACATCATCACCATCACCACCGTCATCACCGTCATCACCACCGTCACCATCACCAACATCACCACCGTCACCATCACCAACGTCACCCCCGTCACCACCACCACCACCATCACCACCATCACCACCACTATCACCACCATCATCACCACCATCATCACCACCATCACCACCATCATCACCAACCATCACCACCATCACCACCGCCATCACCACCACCATCACCACCATCACCACCATCACCACCACCACCACCACCATCACCACCAACACCACCAACATCACCACCGTCATCACCGTCATCACCACCATCACCACCATCACCACCGTCACCATCACCAACATCACCACCGTCACCACCATAAACACCGTCACCACTATCGTCACCACCACTGATGATGGTTGTGATATTGATGACGGTAGTGATGGTGGTGGTGATTTTGATGATGACGGTAGTGATAGTGGTGGTGATTTTGATGATGGTGGTGATGTTGATGGTGGTAATGATGGTGGTGGTGATGTTGATGATGTTGGTGATGGTGGTGATGATGGTGGTGATGGTGGTGATGATGGTGGTAATGACGACAGTGATGGTGGTGATGATGGTGGTGATGGTGGTGATGTTGATGACGGTAGTGATGGTGATTTTGATGATGGTAGTGATGTTGATGATGGTGGTGATGTTGATGATGGTAATGATGATGGTGGTGATGATGATGGTGGTGATGATGATGATGGTGATGTTGGTGATGGTGATGATGGTAGTGATGACGGTGGTGATGGTGGTAATGACGACGGTGATGGTGGTGATGATGGTGATGATGGTGGTGATGGTGGTGGTGATGTTGATGATGGTGGTGATGTTGATGGTGGTGACGACGGTGACGGTGGTGATGGTGGTGATGGTGGTGATGGTGATGTTGATGATGGTGGTGATGGTGGTAATGACGACGGTGATGGTGGTGATGATGGTGATGATGGTGATGATGGTGGTGATGGTGGTGGTGATGGTGATGATGGTGGTGATGGTGGTGATGTTGGTGACGTTGCTGGGTGGTGGCGTCACCTTAACCATGGCCACGTCCACCTTACGGCACCGGATAATCACCACGGGCTCTAGCAGCTGGTACAGACCCTGCAACAACATCAACAACAACATCACCACCATCACCATCACCACCACCACCACAACCACCATCGCCATGACTCTGTGTCTCTGTGAGTGCGTGTCTCTCCGTGCGAGTCTCTGTGTGAGTGCGTGTCTCTGTGTGAGTCTGTGTGCGTGTCTCTGTGTGTCTCTATATGAGTGCGTGTCTCTGTGTGTGTCTGTCAGACTGCCCTACATAACATCATAACAACAGTCTGGACCACTGGACGGGTTCCGCAGGATTGGAAGAATGCTCTGGTGGTCCCCCTCTTTAAGAAGGGGGACCGCACAGACTGTAACAACTACAGGGGCATCTCACTCCTCAGTGTGCCGGGAAAGGTCCTGGCAAGGATTATTCAACATCGCCTTGCCAGGCACGCTGAGGAGAGGCTTGCGGAGCCCCAATGCGGTTTCAGGAAAGGGCGGTCCTGCACAGATGCCATATTTTCTGTCCAGCCTGCTACAGCAGAGGTGTAGGGAATTCCAACAAGACCTACATCTCTGCTTTATTCACGTGGTCAAGGCCTATGATACCATCAGTTGGCGTAGGCTCTGGGTTGTTCTTCGTGCTTTTGGAGTCCCTGACGATCTGCTCACTATCATTAAGGACCTTCATGATGGTGAGCGGGCCCAGGTAAAACTACGTGGCCGGGAGTCAGAGCCATTCCCTGTACACCTTGGTGTGCGACAGGGATGTCCTCTGGCTCCCACATTATTTAACATCTATTTTGACCACGAAGTTCGTGAAGCCTTCAATAGCTGTACCGGGGGAATCTCCATTTGGTACAGATATAATGGGAGGCTGATCGATGCCCGGGTGCGGTCAAGGGATGGCTCATTATTGGTCAACCACGTTATGTATGCCGATGATTTGGTAATTGCTGCTCATTCAGAGGAGGAGTTGGAGACGCTGCTGCTGAAACTGGAGCGTGCCACTAAGAGGTGGGGCCTTACCATTAGCCCCACCAAAACTAATGAAACATCTTCGCCGGTTAGAAACATTTAGGCTGGCCTGCCTACAATTCATTCTGGGTTTAACCCGGCTGGATTGTGTGAGGAGCTCACAAATCCTCTAAAGATCTGGGCAAAGTCCCATCGGTGAGCTCCTCCGGCAGGCAAGGCTGCGTTGGCTGGGTCATGTAGCCCGCATGCCCAGCCACCTCATGCCTAAACAGCTTTTGTTTGTCCGAATAGAGGGGGTTAAACGGGCACGTCACGGGCTAGAGAAAAGATGGAGTGACGTGATACAGGAGGACGTGGAGCTGAGTGGACTTGCCGATGACTGGTACCAGCGGTGTCAAGATCGGCCTCTGTGGAGGAGGCTCGTGAAGGACGCTACTGGGCAGTTGGAGGTAGTCGCCCTCCGGCAGAGGAGCGACGCTCACAACAACGAGCGGAGCACCGGGTGGCTAAAGCACAGCAGGTTGGCACAGTAGGGGGCACAGGTGGTGCATCAGCCAGTCATCTCAGTCAGTCGACCCGTGGCACCTGGGTCTGCCCCGTGACCTCCTGCCAGCGGGCGTTCGACACTCCACGTGGCCTCAATGTGCACATGGCCTGGCACAAGCGTCGTGGTGACGTCACCCCCACTAAGTGGCGAATGGCGGTTGTTGTTGTTGTTGTCTGTGTGCGTGTCTCTGTGTGTGTCTGTGTGTGTGTCTATGTGTGTGTGTCTCTGTGTCTCTCTTCGTGCGTGTCTCTGTGTGTGTCTCTCTCCCTGTGTGTCTCTCTGCGCGTGTCTCTCTCTCCCTGTGTCTCTCTCTCTCTCCGTGCGTGTGTCTTTGTGTGTCTCTCCCTGTGTGTCTCTCTCTGTGTGTGTGTCTCTCCGTGTGTGTCTCTCTCTCTCCGTGTGTGTCTCTCTCTCTCCGTGTGTGTCTCTCTCTCTCTCCGTGTGTGTCTCTCTCTCTGTGTGTCTCTCGCTGTGCGTGTCTCTCTCTCTGTGTGTCTCTCTCTCTCTCTCTGTGTCTCTCTGTGTCTCTCTCTCTCTGTGTCTCTCTCTGTGTGTGTCTCTCTCTCTCTGTGTTTCTCTCTCTCTATGTGTCTCTCTCTTTGTGTCTCTCTCTCTCTGTGTGTCTCTCTCTCTCTGTGTATTTCTCTCTGTGTGTCTCTCTCTTTGTGTCTCTCTCTCTCTGTGTCTCTCTCTCTCAGTATGTCTCTCTCTCTCTGTGTCTCTCTCCGTGTCTCTCTCTGTGTGTCTCTCTGTGTCTCTCTCTCTGTGTCTCGCTCTCTGTGTGTGTCTCTCTCTCTGTGTCTCTCTCTCTCTGTGTCTCTCTCTTTGTGTATCTCTCTGTGTGTGTGTGTGTCTCTCTCTCTCTCTGTGTGTCTCTCTCTGTGTGTGTCTCTCTCTGTGTGTGTCTCTCTGTGTGTGTGTCTCTCTCTCTCTCTGTGTCTCTCTCTCTCCGTGCGTCTCTCTCTCTCCGTGTCTCTCTCTCTCCGTGCGTGTGTCTCTCTCTCTCTGTGTCTCTCTCTCTGTGTCTCTCTCTGTGTCTCTCTCTCTCTGTGTCTCTCTCTCTCTCTGTGTCTGTCTCCGTGCGTGCGTCACCTGCAGCAGGAGACCGTCCAGCAGTGCCTGGTAGCGCGCTTGGTTCTTGGTGACCTCCGCCTGCCGGCGTCGCCCCTCACTCAGCAGCTCCTGCACACACGGCCGGGGGGCGGAGGGGGGGGGGGCGGAGGGGGGGGGGGCGGAGGGGGGGGGCGTTGACCCAGAATCAATCGTGGTTTATTCGTGGGGAGTTCGGTCCGCGTGGATATCGAGGTCGCGTAAGCCCCGCCGACACCACCCGACAAGGCCCCATCAGCAAGAGGGCCCCCCCCCCAAGCAGCAAGAGGGCCCCCCCCGCCCCCCCCGCCCCCCCCCGCCCCACCGTGTCACGTCAACGGAGCGCGCCAACTGGTTACTGGCACGGCGCTAGCCACAGCATCACGTGCGGTGTAAACGTTGCGGATTGGCTCTCCAACACACCCGGTGCTGGGACCAGTGACGAATTGGCCACGTTCTGTTCAAGTGGCAAACCTCGCCGATTGGCTATGTCGGGTGGTGGCGGGTTTAGCGATACGCACGCCAATATGTTTACACGCGATCTAACCACGCGAAAAAAAAAAAAACGATAAATCACGGACGATATTGCCTGCGGAAGCCTGCGTGTTATAATTACCACCGTCACCACCGTCACCGTCACCACTGTCACCACCGTCACCACCGTCACCACCGTCACCACCGTCACCATGACCATCACCACTGTCACCACCACTGTCACCATCACCACCGTCACCATGACCACCACCACTATCACCACAGTCACCACCGTCACCACCGTCACTACCGTCACCACCGTCACCACCGTCACCATAACTACCACCGTCACCACCGTCACCATGACCACCGTCACCGTCACCATGACTACCACCACTGTCACCACCGTCACCATGACCACCACCACCATTACCACCGTCAATCACCACCACCGTCACCATGACGACCACCACCACCGTCAACATGACCACCACCATCACCATGACCACCACCACCACCGTCACCACCACCACCACCACTGTCACCACCGTCACCACCGTCGTCACCACCGTCACCACCACCGTCACCACCACCGTCACCGTCACCATGACCACCACCATCACCACCGTCACCATGACCACCACCACCGTCACCACCGTCACCACCGTCACCACCACCGTCACCACCACCGTCACCACCATCACCATGACCACCACCGTCACCATGACCACCACCGTCACCATGACCACCACCACCACCACCACCGCCACCACCACCACCACCACCGTCACCACCGTCACCACCACCGTCACCACCACCGTCACCGTCACCATGACCACTACCACCACCGTCACCATGACCACCACCACCACCGTCACCACCACCACCGTCACCACAACCACCACCGTCACCATGACCACCACCGTCACCACCGTCACCATGACCACCACCACCACCACCACCACCGTCACCATGACCATGACCACCACCACCGTCACCACCACCACCACCACCGTCACCACCACCACCATGACCACCACCGTCACCACCACCACCATGACCACCACCGTCACCACCGTCACCATGACTACCACCACCGTCACCTGCACGAGGTCCTCGCGAGCTCGGAGCACCTTGAGCCGGGCCTGGTTCATCAGGTTCGACATCTGTCTGTGGACGGGGGATTTGGGGGTGGGGGGGAGATAGAGGGAGTGGGGGGTGGGAGGGAGGGAGGGAGGGAGGGAGAGGGGGTAGAGAAAAAAGAGAGAGGATAAGAGATGAGAGGGGGAGAGGGAGAGAGGGGAGAGTGAGTGGAGGAGAGAGGGGGGAGAGAGGGGGGGAGTGAGAGTGAGAGGGGGAGAGAGAGCGGGAGGGATGCGGGGGAGAGGAGAGGGAGGGTGAGAGAGAAGAGAGAAAGACAGAGAGTGAGACAGAGACTCAGAATCAGAATGTGTATACTGCAGGAAGAATCCGATGAGCTATGAAGCTCTTTGTTCACAGAATATCCAGAAGAGGGCACGGGGTCAGAGCCACAAACGACGCTGCACACAACCACGACAGTGGAGGGACGGTAAAGCGAATCACCGTAAGATACAAGCGCACACACATTAACAACATTTGTTTTTATTCTATCATCGTGTGGGGAGATGGGGGGGAGACAGAGAGAGCGAGCGACAAGGGCTGCGTGCAGATGCAGCACTTGCCGTAGTTTAAAAACATAAAAACATAAAAAAGAGCGAGGGAGAGAGAGGGACATGGAGTAGGAAGAGAGGGGGTAGAGAGAGAGGGAAGGGGTAAGGAGAGCAGAGCTAGAAATATTGTTAAATCTTTCATTTAAAAAGGGGGGGGGGGGTTTGCATGAAGAAAAGCATTCAAAAAAACGAAATGTCGCTCTCTCTCCCACTCTCTCTCTCTCCCCCACATTCTGTCTCGCTCCCTCTCGCTTTTCTTTATAACTACGACAAGCGCTGCATCTGCACGCAGCCCTTCCCGCGGTCAAACGGCCTCCGACGGGGCAGCTCACAATCTGCACACGCACAGAGCTCTCTACCGTCGCCTGCCACCGAGCACACGGCCCTCCTCCGGCGCCCACCGCTCCTTGTAGGCCGGCACGGCGTGGGTCAGCCGCGCACGGCGGAACTCCGGCCCACCACCACACCCTGGCTCCGACCGGAGCGCGGGAGATGCCCCAGGCTGCCGGCCGGACGTTGCCCCTCCAGGGCCACCTTCCTCGCCCTGTACATGGCGAGGCTTTGGCGTGGCCGAAGAGCAACGTTGACCGGCCCCCTGAAGATGTTGGGGTCCGTCGCCCTTCGGGTATCCGAAGATGAGGACCGTCGGGGAGAAGCGGAGGCTGAACCTCAGGAGGATGTTTCTCAGGACCTTGAACGCAGCGAGTTCCAGGCTCTCGCGCTCCACTTATCGGCGAGCCACCGTCTCCGCTTTACCGCGGAACCGGCAACTCCGGGGACGTGTCGGTGAAGCGCGCCGGGGAGGCGTCGGCGGTGACGGTGCCGTGGGCGATGCTCCGGCTGAAGGTCGCCGATGCGGTCGTACGTCGGGCTGGAGTGGAGTTGCCTCCAGCGAGGCCTCTCCGGAGAGACGCAGGGCTAGGGGCTTGTCCTTGTGGCTCCTCCTCGGGGTGTCCTGTTGGTGGAACCGGACCATGTAGGAGTAGACCACCTTCCTCTTGACGTTAGCGAAGGTCATCCTCTGGCAGGTCTCCCGGCCGGCACGGGTCGCGATCCGCCTTCGTTTGTCGGCATTGGCGACGCAGCGGCACGACGGAGAGCTCCGGTGGAGGGGGACCGAGAGGGGCCTCGTCATCCCCGACGCCGATGGGGGGCGGGGGGGGGGGGGGCGTTCTCCCCATCGCTGCCGCTGAGAAGGCCCCCCTTGGCTTCGGGCCAGGATCCGGGCGGCCACCCGGAGCGACTGCAGCCCCCCCCGCTGTCTTTGCGGCCCACGTCTGCCGGTCCGAGCCACCGGACCTCCGCGCTTCAGGCTCCGCCAGATCTCCCGTCCTGGCGAGCCGCGCGTTGGCGAGGCGCCTCTCCGTGCCTGGGGTGGCGGCGGTGGCGGATGGCAGCGCTTTGTCCGCGGGGGTTCCCGAGGATCGCTTCGAAGACCAGATCCTCGGCCGACCGCGGCCGGTTCGGCCTCCTGACGGCGAGGGAGCCCCGCGTCCTCCGCAGGGACGCTCCCTGTAGAAGGGTGGCAGCTTGCCCCAGTGGGAGGCCCTGCAGGTCCACGTAGAATAGTCGCTTGGAGCACTGCAGACCCCCCCCCCCAGCTGTTTCAGATGGAAGGAGGCCGTGATGCTCCAGGCCCGGTGCAGGGGCGGCATGGTGGCGCGGGAACTTTCAGCGCGGCCTTGCGGTCGGAAGGTGGCCGGCCGACTCCGCACGCGCACACAGGCCCGTGACCGCCCCCTCGTCCGGTGGCAGGGCTCAGGACCCCGCCCCGCGACCTCGGTGACCTCCGCCCGACCGGAAGAAGTCGAGGGCTCGCTTCTGAAGCGCGTCGACGAGGCTCATGGCGGGGGAGGGGGGGGGGTGCAGGGAGAAGGGGTCGGTGCCCCGGCATGGAGGTGTCACCGGCTGGGTTCACCGCCAACGTCTTCGTCCTGAAGGCGAGGAGCTTGCGCGGGCGACCCCCGGGTGCCCGGCCGCTCCTTCGCCTTCTCCTCCGGCTCGACCCGGTTCCTCCGCGGTGGTTCCCCCTCCGGTCCGAGGAACACCCACCAGGTGGCTGCGGCAGCGACACTGTGCTCCAATCGGTGGCTTCTGCCTCCTCGGGACGATCGCTCACGTCCCACGCTCCAACCAGCACTCGTGCAGCAGGGCGACATCATCCAGGGAGCGCAGGATGAGGACCAACTTCCTTGGACTGGCCGCATTTTGAGGCCGTTCCCCGGCCTAACGCCGGCGGTGAAACTGGACCATAACGAACGAGGCTCCCCTGTGTCCCTCTATTGTCGGCCAATCAGTTTCAAAGACAACGCATGTAACATTATTATTATTATCGGAGCCACGTTTGTTTCCATGTTTTGCCACAGACTCACAGACACCCACAGAGACCCATACTCATAGAGGCCGACAGAGACTTATAGAGACCTATAGACCCATACTCACAGACTCCCACAGAGACCCATACTCATAGAGGCCGATAGAGACTTATAGAGACCTATAGACCCATACTCACAGACTCACAGACACCCACAGAGACCCATACTCATAGAGGCCGATAGATACTTATAAGAGACCTATGGACCCATACTCACAGACACCCACAGAGACCCATACTCATAGAGGCCGATAGAGACTTATAGAGACCTATAGACCCATACTCACAGACTCACACACACCCACAGAGACCCATACTCATAGAGGCCGATAGAGACTTATAGAGACCTTTACTCAGAGACCCACACTCATAGATACCCACAAAGACCCAGACCCATACTCACAGACTCACAGACACCCACAGAGACCCATACTCATAGAGGCCGATAGAGACTTATAGAGACCTATAGACCCATACTCACAGACTCACAGACACCCACAGAGACCCATACTCATAGAGGCTGATAGAGACTTATAGAGACCTATAGACCCATACTCATAGACTCACAGACACCCACAGAGACCCATACTCATAGAGACCCAGTTATAGAGACCCACAGAGAGCCATACTCAGATACCCACAGAGACCCATAAACCCATACTCAGAGACCCTTACTCATTGAGACCCACAGAGACCCATACTCAAAGAAACCCATACTCTGAGACCTACAGACACCCACAGAGACCCATACTCATTGAGACCCAGTTATAGAGACCCACAGAGAGCCATACTCAGATACCCACAGAGACCCATAGACCCATACTCAGAGACCCTTTTCTCATTGAGACCCACAGAGACCCATACTCAAAGAAACCCATACTCTGAGACCTACAGACACCCACAGAGACCCTTACTCATTGAGACCCACAGAGACCCATACTCAAAGAAACCCATACTCTGAGACCTACAGACACCCACAGAGACCCTTACTCATTGAGACCCACAGAGACCCATACTCAAAGAAACCCATACTCTGAGACCTACAGACACCCACAGAGACCCACAGTTTACACCACTTCCTCCCTACGGTCTGCCTGGGAGAGAGCTGTGGCCTTTGTGAGACTGGAAACCACCTCCACCACCTCCACCACCACCTCCACCACCTCCACCACCTCCACCTGCACCACCTCCACCTGCACCAGCACCACCAGCACCAGCACCACCAGCGCCACCAGCACCACCAGCACCACCAGCGTCACCAGCACCACCACCACCATCACCACCAGCACCACCACCACCACCACCTCCACCACCACCTCCACCACCTCCACCTGCACCAGCACCACCAGCACCAGCACCACCAGCACCACCAGCGTCACCAGCGCCACCAGCACCACCATCACCACCAGCACCACCACCACCAGCACCACCAGCACCACCAGCACCACCACCAGCACCACCACCAGCACCACCACCAGCACCACCACCAGCACCAGCACCAGCACCACCAGCACCACCAGCACCACCACCAGCACCACCACCAGCACCACCACCACCAGCACTACCAGCACCACCACCAGCACCACCAGCGCCACCACCACCACCGTCACCGTCACCACCACCGCCAGCACCACCATCACCACCAGCACCACCATCATCACCACCAGCACCACCAACACCACCACCACCACCAGCACCACCAGCACTACCAGCACCACCACCACCACCACCATCACCACCATCACCACCAGCACCACCACCAGCACCACCACCACCAGCACCACCACCATCACCACCATCACCACCAGCACCACCACCACCATCACCACCATCACCGCCACCACCACCACTCACATCTTCTTCTGCTGGTCGATCTGCTTCTCCTTCTTCTCGTAGTGCTCCATGATCTTGAGGCGCTGAGTCTGCACTAGGCGGCCCTTCTCAATGTTGAACTCCTCCTCCGCCTGGACAAGACAGAGAGGGACAGGGACAGAGACAAAGGTCCCCCGGGTAGCCTTGCAACAAACGGGAGGGAGGAGCAGGGAGAGAGCGAGGGTGGGAGGCAGGAAGAGGGAGGAAGGGGCAAGGAAAGGAGGGAGGAAGGAGGGAAGATGAGGAGGGAGGGAGGGAGTTGTAGCGCAGGGAGTGAGTTTCAGCGCAGGGAGTGAGTGTCAGTGCAGGGAGTGTCAGCGTAGGGAGTGTCAGCGCAGGGAGTGAGTGTCAGTGCAGGGAATGAGTTTCAGTGCAGGGAGTGTCAGCGCAGGGAGTGTCAGCACAGGGAGTGAGTTTCAGTGCAGGGAGTTTCAGCACAGGGAGTGTCAGTGCAGGGAGTGAGTTTCAGCACAGGGCGTTTCAGTGCAGGGAGTGAGTTTCAGCTCAGGGAGTGAGTGTCAGTGCAGGGAGTGAGTTTCAGTGCAGGGAGTGTCAGCACAGGGAGGGAGTGTCAGTGCAGGGAGTGTCAGTGTAGGGAGTGAGTTTCAGCGCAGGGAGTGTCAGCGTAGGGAGTGAGTGTCAGCGCAGGGAGTGTCAGCGTAGGGAGTGAGTGTCAGCACAGGGAGTGAGTGTCAGTGCAGGGAGTGAGTTTCAGTGCAGGGAGTGTCAGTGCAGGGAGTGAGTTTCAGCGCAGGGAGTGAGTGTCAGCGCAGGGAGTGAGTGTCAGCTCAGGGAGTGTCAGCACAGGGAGTTTCAGTGCAGGGAGTTTCAGCACAGGGAGTGAGTGTCAGTGCAGGGAGTGAGTTTCAGTGCAGGGAATGAGTTTCAGCGCAGGGAGTGTCAGCGCAGGGAGTGTCAGCGCAGGGAGTGTCAGCACAGGGAGTGAGTTTCAGCACAGGGAGTTTCAGCACAGGGAGTGTCAGTGCAGGGAGTGAGTTTCAGCACAGGGAGTGAGTTTCAGCGCAGGGCGTTTCAGTGCAGGGAGTGAGTTTCAGCTCAGGGAGTGAGTGTCAGTGCAGGGAGTAAGTTTAAGCACAGGGAGTGAGTGTCAGCGCAGGGAGTGAGTGTCAGTGCAGGGAGTGAGTTTCAGCGTAGGGAGTGAGTTTCAGTGCAGGGAGTGTCAGCGTAGGGAGTGTCAGCGCAGGGAGTGTCCGCGTAGGGAGTGTCAGCACAGGGAGTGAGTGTCAGTGCAGGGAGTGAGTTTCAGTGCAGGGAGTGTCAGTGCAGGGAGTGAGTTTCAGTGCAGGGAGTGTCAGTGCAGGGAGTGAGTGTCAGCGCAGGGAGGGAGTGTCAGTGCAGAGAGTGTCAGTGCAGGGAGTGTCAGCGCAGGGAGTGTCAGCGTAGGGAGTGTCAGCGCAGGGTGGGAGTGTCAGCGCAGGGAGTGTCAGCGTAGGGAGTGAGTGTCAGTGCAGGGAGTGTCAGCGCAGGGAGGGAGAATCAGTGCAGGGAGTGAGTGTCAGCGCAGGGAGTGAGTGTCAGCGCAGGGAGGGAGTTTCAGTGCAGGGAGGGAGTTTCAGCACAGGGAGGGCTCACCTTAGCGTCGATCTCCTCCGCTTTCTCGTTGGCCTCTTGCTCGATGAAAGCCATCATGTGCTTTATCTGCCCACAACAAAGACAAAGATCCCCACTGTAGAACTCAACACTCACTCATCCACTGATTAACCCACTGACTCACCCACTCACTCACCCATCCACTGACTCACAAACTCACTCACCCACTCACATATGCAATGACTCACACATGCACTGTCTCAATCACCCACTCAGCCACTCACCCACACCACTGACTCACACACTCACCCACCCACTGAGTCACACACTCACCCACTCAGCCACTCACCCACCCACTGAGTCACACACTCACCCACTCAGCCACTCACACACCCATTGAGTCACACACCGACCCACTGACTCACACACTCACTCAGCCACTCACCCACCCACTGACTCACACACTCACTCAGCCACTCACCCACCCACTCAGTCACACACTCACCCACTCAGCCACTCACACACCCATTGAGTCACACACTCACCCACTGACTCACACACTCACTCAGCCACTCACCCACCCACTGAGTCACACACTCACCCACTCGCACACCCACTGAGTCACACACTCACCCACTGACTCACACACACTCAGCCACTCACCCACCCACTCAATCACACACCCACTGACTCACACACTCACTCAGCCACTCACCCACCCACTCAGTCACACACTCACCCACTCAGCCACTCACACACCCATTGAGTCACACACTCACCCACTGACTCACACACTCACTCAGCCACTCACCCACCCACTGACTCACACACTCACCCACTCACCCACCCACTGAGTCACACACTCACCCACTGACTCACACACTCACTCAGCCACTCACCCACCCACACTCACCCACTGACTCACACACTCACTCAGCCACTCACCCACCCACTGAGTCACACACTCACCCACTCAGCCACTCACCCACCCACTCAATCACACACTCACTGACTCACACACTCACTCACCCATCCACTGACTCACACACTCACCCACTCAGTCACTCGCACACCCACTGAGTCACACACTCACCCACTGACTCACACACTCACTCAGCCACTCACCCACCCACTGAGTCACACACTCACTCACACAGTCACTCACCCACCCACTCAATCACACACTCACTGACTCACGCACTCAGCCGCTCACCCATCCACTCACTGACCCACCCACTCACTCACCCATCCACTAACTCACGCACTCAGCCACACACTCACCCACTGACTCACACACCCACTCAGCCACTCACCCACCCACTGACTCACACACTCACTCAGCCACTCACCCACCCACTGAGTCACACACACACTCACTCAGCCACTCACCCACCCACTTACTCACACACTGACCCACTGACTCACACACTCACCCACTGAGTCACACACTCACCCACTCAGCCACTCACCCACCCACTCACTCACCCATCCACTAACTCACTCACTACACCCCAAGACTCTCGTATGGGCTTCACAGACTGTTGGGGCAAGTGTTGCTAGCTAACAGCAGCGCCATTAAGGCTACCGGCACTGTGGCACACGAGGGGGTGGGGTGGCCAGCACCACGCCCGGCCGCCTTTGTCTCCCCAGTGGCGATGTTTACTACACAAACCGCTACACCGGGTGCTCATTTGAGGCCGAGTCGACCTAGGGGACGAGTGCCCAGGACCTGTTCGGATGATCCTGACCGGTGTTGATGGTGGCCGTGAGCGCGCTAACCGCCGTGCCACCGCTCCCCGGCACCCCGTGTCGTACTCTGCGCTCATTACAAAAACACTATTACAGTATTCGTAATATCTCCTCGAACCGCCAATGACCCGTGAATTTGTGAATTTATCGCTCAACTAGAAATGGGCGAGCCGACCTTACTTGACGCCTCCCTTCTGGAAGTCGTGTCATTTCCACGGCGTTTTAGTTTTAGTTCGGCAAATGCACACACACACAGAAACAAAAACGGCGTGGACCCCGTTTCAACATTCAGCGCCTTCAAGAGCGGCGTGCGAGTTTGGAGCGTGGGGAGGGGGGAGAGAGGGGTGGGAGAGAGGGGGGGGGGAGCACGCGCCCGTCACGTGACTTGTTTGCGTTCACATCCGGTTTCAATTCTCCCCCCCCCCCCCCGATCACGTGAGACGACAACGACTTCCGATTTCAAGACACCACCACCGGCTTGTGTGGTGGTGGTGGCATGAGGCTTTGACGACACAACAACCACTACCACAACCACCACAACCACCACCACCACAACCACCACCACAACCACCACCACAACCACCAACACAACCAACACCACCACCACCGGCTTGCGTGGTGGTGGTGGCATGAGGCTTTGACGACACAACAACCACTACCACAACCACCACAACCAACACCACCACAACCACCACAACCACCAATACAACCAACACCACCACCACCACCGGCTTGCGTGGTGGTGGCATGAGCTTTGACGACACAACAACCAACACCACCACCACAAACCACCACCTTTTATTCCCACGCCACACGGTGGTGGTGGCGGTGGTGGTGGCGGCGTTGTAATGAACGCGAATTTGTACTACGTACGGCGAGAAAGAATACCAACGTAGTGTTACATTCATTCAACATATATGGTACACAAGTACAAAAGCTCCC